AGGCAGGCCCGTTGACTTGCTGATAGTTGGATTAGCATCATGTTCCAACATGTTTAATGCTGCAAGACCACATGAAACACAAGTTAATAGAGAAATCCGACCTACTATGAGAGACTTACAATGAAAAGAAGTTCGGACCCAGAAATTCGTAGCAATCACAGTCATACAAGTGTAATCATCCGGTATGAAACTTAACGAGTGCAGAAATAGAAACTATGCGGTCTCACGTATAATAGTCGGGCCGTTCCGTTAGAATGAATATTCATGAAAAGATACAAATATCACAATTCTTGTATAAGGGGATCGTGCTAATAATGTAAATATCATAAACTGAATATTGGTCGAAGTATTTCATTAGTTTCGACTAGCTGTCCCGAATTCAAGTTAGAAGGCAGGCTCACTACAACATAAGCCAAACAATCAAACAATCAAACGTTTTTCTTCGGAGTTCTGACCATATGCAAGGAAACCATTTATCAAGGCATTTAAGAACCTTTATTTTGTAAGAACCTTTTCAGGAGGAGATGAAATAGGACCCAGATTTAAACTGCTGAAAATCCTTTTTATACAACAATACTTCAAATATGCAAAGTCTGTTCTCTTAGAGATTGCAGATAATAACATAAAAATGCTCTAAACACCTTTAAGTTGCTATATTTGGGCACTTTTCAGAAGAGAATCATCTAGTCTCACATATAGAAGTACAATCCAATGCAACTGGAAGGCCTTACCCAGACCAATGGTTCGTAGACTCGGAGTCAAATTCTTGAGTCCTAAGGCCCTATGCCTAAGTGTCGACTTTAAACCCCTTTTTCTCCTCCTTTGTAGCTGATTCCAAAAATCAATATGCCATAAAATAACAAATAGGAGGAGAAGATCAAGCATGTCTTGCATCTTGAAGAGAAATGAAGATTGAGGGACAATGTAAAAGCACAAGCCCATCACTAGTAGATATTGTCCTCTTTGGGCTTTCCCTTATGTGCTTCCCCTTAAGGTTTTAAAACACGTCTACTAGTGAGAAGTTTTCACACCCTTATAAGGAATGCTTTGTTTTCCTCTCCAACCAATGTGGGATCTCACAATCCACCACCCTTGGGGGCCAGCGTCCTCGCTGGCACACCGCTCGATGTTTGGCTATGATACCATTTGTAACAGCCCATGCTCACCACTAGCATATATTGTTCGCTTTGGCCCGCAGTCAGCCTCACGGTTCTAAAGCGCGTATGCTAGGGAGAGACTTCCCCACCCTTATAAGGAATGCTTCGTTCTCCTCTCCCATCAACATGGGATCTCACATACAAGAATTTGGAAAAACCCACCAAGAAAACAACAACTAAGGCTTAGTTTGATAGCCATTTTGTTTTTGAAAATTATGCTCATTTTCTCCCCATTATTTGTTAAGTTCTACATGTACCTCCAAAATATATTTGAATTCTAACGTCAAAAAGGTAGACAATGAAGTAAAAGGAATCTATTGGGAAAAATCGGAAGCAGTGTTTATAAGCTAAATTGTCAGAAATAGAAAACCAAGACAAAATGGTAATCAAAATGGGCTAACTATCAGAAGAGGTAAAAAGCTCGATAGTAAGTATGTGAAGGGCTGGAACATGAAAGGATATCCCGAATATAACTATTATAAGCAACAGAAAGCAAAACAGTTCAAGGCGGCATTTCATCAAACACTTAGTCTGCATATCCATAAGAAAAGAATTTCTCAAACGATATGAAAACAGGAACGAATTGAAAACGATAAAACTCGAATCAGAAAAAAAAAAAAAGAAACAAATTAATCAGAAATCAACGAGCTCAGTCAAATAATCATGACGTTTTCTACTAGCAACGCATCAACGATCAAGAGAACAAAGCCAGAATACCAGAAGATTTACCCAATAGGTATCGCCAAATGCTGAAGCCTGCCGGAGAAATGGGTACCCGCTGCCGCCAAAAGTTGCGGTTTTTAGCGAAATCTTAGTCCTTGTTCTCAAATGGAGCCTGGGCTCGGAGCACTGTTAATTGTGGGCTTTGGCCCAACTATGACGCAAGAGAAACGGTTTGCTGGACCACATGTTGGGCCTTTCGAGCTCACCATTGGAGCCCATATATATTCCATAAAGATTTACGCTTTATTTTCTTAGTATTTATAGTTGAAATTAATAAAACTACTATTTTACCTAAAAAATAACTCTAAAATTTTAAAAATAAAAAAAGAATTTAAACTAAAAAAAAATCTAAAAATATAGTTGAAAACTGTTAGTATTTTGTTTAAAAAATATCATTGAATTTTTTTTAGTGCTTTAAAAATACCAACTTAAAATTTAAAATACTATGAAATTTTAAAAGTAAAATTAAAACTCTTTAACTTTATTAAAAAAAGTTTAAAAAAATTCTTACCGTTAATATATGAACGAAAATTGGGTATTTTTTAAAAAATTCAGTAGTATTTTTTGAAACGTGTTACTAACGATAAAAAAATATTAATATTGACGGTTTCAATCTAAAGTTAAGTATAAAAATAGTTTTAAACTTTATTTTTAAAGTTCAATGGTATTTTTGAAATATTTTAAAAAATGGAGGGTGTTATTGAAATTTTTGAAAATTGTTAAAAAATGTTTTTATTAATTTAGCATTAATTACAAGATTAACCCTATTTTAACTCTTAATTATAACTAAATCTCTCCCTATTCAATATTTTTAATTTAATTATATCCAATCAATTAGATATAAAATTAATATTTTTAAAATTTTTAAAATCAAATAAATAGAAGTTTATTGAAAATGTTTGCTTAATCCACCCTACTTAGTAAATGGTGTGTGAAAGTTCTCTATTTATAATCAAATAAATTACAAAGATATTAAAATAATAATAAATAAAAATAACTGCTTTCTATAAAATATCAAATATAATATATATGATAAATTATAATTTAGTACTAAATATCTTTACCTGTAACAGGTCAGTTACGAATATTATACAATAAAATTACTTATTTAACTTATTTTTATGAACATTCATTTCCCCAAAGCCATTTTCAAGGTTGCTTATCTACTTTTTATTTACTTTTGGATAATGTTATAATTTCAAAATTCAAGATTTGACCCTTAAATCTTAATTATTTGCTTAGCTACCCACAATTTTAATTGAATTTTAAATATCATAATCTCTACCTAAATAAATTATGGGAGTGCTTCCTTTTTAGTGACAAAGAATTAGTTAATTATCTCAATTAATTTACAATCAATATTAATATTAAGGATTTCCAATTAAGAAGGTTATTGATTGGGAGATCTATCTAATACCCATATCATATTATTAACTTTTGAAGTGTTCGACAAGTTTATCGATAAACCCTAAATGACCTAGTGTGTCGTTTTAGGGTTAGTTCTTCGTTTCTTCCTTGCTTCTAGAGCGTTGTCGTCTTCTCGTGATAAACATATTTCAACTACTTCTTATCAATTGAGCTGTTGATTACGTTGTCGTAACTGATGATTCATTCTTTTTCAAAAAAATAATAAACGAACGGTCAAGAACGTACAGAATCAAACATGTATCGTCATCACGTGTTCATCAAGCTATTGAATTGGTAGAAATTTTCGTAGCTGGCGTTTATCCAATGAAACAAGAAAAACTTTGTTTATTGTATTAGTTGCATAACAATATTGTCAAACATTGTATTACAAGGGTTATGTCACATGAAATAAAAAAACTTTATGTTAAAATTTAAATGTTTTTCAAGAATAAATGGTTATTTGGAACAAATAATTATGGATTTTTTTTTTTAATAAAATGATATGTTTTAAAAATTATTATATAGTTTGGCTGGAAAATCTTGTCTCATGAAGAAATCTATGTCTTTTTTACTGTCAGAATCTAATTAATTATAAACAATATCTCATAATTGTTGTTGAAATTCAGACAAACATGTGTTTGATATTTAAGAATTTGATCAAGACAGGACATTATTCTTAAAGAAATTTGATGTTTTTAAGATTAAGGCTTAGATTGAGATTAACGTAGCTTATAATCGTGTTTTTACGACGAACATGCTATAAAAGAGAAATAGGAAAGTTTTAATTTTATACGTGAAAAAGTATGTTATAGAAATAAAATTTATTTGGATAGGAAGAACACGACTTGGACGATAAAAAAAAATAAAATTGTACACGGTTTCTACATTCTTGTAAGAAATGTCTAGTGTCTGACTCTGATACCATTTGTAACAGCCCAAGTCCACAGCTATTAGATATTGTCTGTTTTGGCCCGTTACATATTGTTATCAGTCTCATGGTTTTAAAATGCATCTACTAAGGGGAGACTTCCACACTTTTATAAGGAATGATTCGTTCACTAATTCAACCGATGTGGAATCTCACCGAGTGTCGAGAAAAGCTTTAGAATTTTGATGAACTGAATGAAACTTATCGAACTTACCTCTCTGCAATTCGAGAAAATAGTTTATATATAGCTCAAAATTAGCGTTTTTCTTGAATCCTTAGGGTTATGATGAAAGAAGGGTGAGTTGCAGTTGGTAAAAATTACACATGTCCTCGCTAGTACATTACCCAATGTCTAGCTTTGATACCATTTGTAACAACCCGAGACCACCGCTAGTAGATATTGTTCGCTCTGGATCATTACGTATCATCATCAATCTCACGTTAGTTACATGAAATTAAATGGTTATTAGACGGGAAACCAGAATATATAATCTCTCTCTCCAATTCGTGACACGTACGTAATGTTTTTTTTAGTTCAACAACATGTATCAGTGTGAACACAAATCTCTCGTGCTTTAGTTAATGATATCAAAGCTATGGTCGGGTTAACTTTTTCCCGACCGACAAAAGAAAAAAAAATCGAAAAAAGACTTCGACAAAGTATTATAAACAAATTATAGCTTAGGTGAAAACTTGAAGAACACACTCCCACTAGTTGTCTTCTTCTAAGAAGGTTAAATTCCCATAGATTTCTTGCATTACATGCTCACCAAGAACCCTAAAACAAGCAAGAGTTTGAGACTCCATCTTCTCCATGCAAGTTAGCTCTTTCTTCTCTCTCTCTTTCTAGCATAAAATGATAGTAAGTTTTATTGATTTAACGTTGTTGTTGTTGTGTTTCGATTTCTCGAGGTATCGAGCGGTGATAATTTGGGGACGGAGAAGGACGGAAAAAGGTCGGAGGTGATGAAGAAGAATACTGTGGCGGAATCAGATCGTAATCATCAAGATCATGCACAAGAGCAAGATCAAACGTTGCCTCCTGGGTTTAGATTTCATCCTTCTGATGAAGAGTTGATCACGTATTATCTTTTGAACAAGATATCAGATGCTAATTTTACAGGAAGAGCGGTTACTGATGTTGATCTCAACAAATTTGAACCTTGGGAACTACCAGGTGATTTCTTGTTTATCATCCTCGAGTTTCTGGTGAATTAGGGTTTGTTCGAAAACTTTAAATTTTGATCTCGAACTGTTCTTAAAAATTGTGATCTTATGAACTATCACTTTTGTTTCATTAGATCTTAACACGTTTGGCCGTTGTTATATTATTTATTTTTCATAAGACGGGGTTTACTTGCTTAATTTTCAAAAATTAAAAAATAAAAAATCAGACAAATTTGAAATTTAGAGATTAAAATATATAAACCAATTAGACTAAAATTACTGCATGGAAGCTGTTTAAATCAGAAGTATTGTTATAAATATCAGACTTAGGGCTGTAAGGATTAGGGTTTGCATGGAAGCTATTTAAAGCTGAGTATTAACGTTATTATTGTTGATTTTCAAACAGGGAAGGCTAAAATGGGAGAAAAAGAATGGTATTTTTTCAGCCTTAGGGATAGAAAATACCCGACCGGAGTTAGAACAAATAGAGCCACGAACACAGGCTACTGGAAAACCACGGGAAAGGACAAAGAAATCTTCAATACTGATACTTCAGAGCTGGTCGGGATGAAGAAGACGTTGGTGTTCTATAAAGGAAGAGCTCCGAGAGGAGAGAAAACTAATTGGGTTATGCATGAATATCGACTTCATTCCAAAACCGCTTTTAGAACAGCTAAGGTAAATACTTTTTATTAAAAAAAAATAAGTTTCTTATTATTAATTTTTCATATTTTTGTTATCGAAAGTGTCTGAAACTCTCATGTTGATGTCAAATTCATAAACATATGAAAATATCGAGATTAGGAATTTTTGTACAACCACGATGATTTATTTGATATATAATTATTAATTTTTTTATAAAAAAAATTGATATAAAATATGTGAGATCCGACATGGAAGAGGGAGAAGGGTGTGGTAACCTCATCCTAGCAAACCTGTTTTAAAACCTAGATGGAAAGTCCGAAGAGGACAATATCTGTTTACTGTGGACTTGAGCCATTACGAAAATCGAATCAAAATTCCTATTTTATGAGTTAAATCGTAATCAAAATTCCTATTTTATGAGTTAAATCTCATCTTGTATTGTAATCATTTGAAAAATCATGTTTTTGCCTCTTTTTTTAGTCCCTTAATTGTGATTTTGATTGGGCTCTTAAAACAGGACGAATGGGTGGTTTGCCGAGTATTCCAAAAGAGTGCCGGACCCAAGAAGTATCCTCCAAACCAAACAAGAGCAGTGAATCCCTATGTCAACCTTGAAATTGCCCCTCCTCTTCTTCCACCACCCCTCATGCAGCTCGGAGACCCTGCTGCTCAATATGGCTATGGGCGTAACTACATCACCGGCGCAGATCTGGCCGAGCTCAACCGAGTCCTGAGAGCCGGAGGCGGCGGCAGTGGCAGCGGAGGATCAACTCATGGTATCAACTTATCGATGCAACCCCAGTTTAACTATCAACCTGCCGGAGGTTGCTTCACAATATCCGGGTTGAATTTAAACCTTGGAGGAGCTTCATCGCAACCAGTTTTGCGACCGATGCCGCCCCCAGTCGCAGCACCGATGAAAATTGGCCAACAAGACATCGGTTCGTCTGTCATGGCAGCTACCATGGCTAATTCATCTGTGATTGCAAGCGCGATCGGTCCTGAAACTGCATATGGGGCGGAGATCAGCAACAATGGCAATGGACCTGGCAACAGATTTATGAACATGGACCATTGCATGGACCTGGAGAATTACTGGCAAAACTGGTAAAGACCGCCAAGCTATGCATACATTTCTCAGTAAACACTGAAGAAGTTGTTGCAGTCATAGAGATAGTTCTCCCCTTTTCCCTTTGTTACGAGTTTTCACAAACCCGCCTTTCTTAGTCGATGTGTAACTTTTAACTCCGAGATTGGAGTCTCTAGTTGTTTCTGTAAGCAGTCGGAACGAGGATGAACCGAACCAAAGTTTGTTCTTTTCAGGACTTCATAATCAATAGCTGAAAGACCCCTTCAGCAGCAAAGTCACACAAGCTGCTAACATCACACTGATGGTAGACTTGAACAGAGCGGAGTAACGAGAAGAAAATTTGAAATAATTTATTCGACTTCGCAACTATTTTACAACGAACAAAAAAACTTACAACTCTGGCATCATAGTCATAAACATGGAAAACAAAATATAACTTCAACGTCTAAACTTCTTGGGTGTATCTAGCAGCGGGAGTGATGATCATGGCTAACAACCGACCGAGACTAGGTGATGAAACTGTAAGAGCTTCGAAAAAATATCAGACTTCTAAGTTTCAGATTCCTAAAGAAAGCCAAAGATGTCATGTCCACCTGCGGAGAATCGAAATACGATTATATGTAAGTGATGTACTCACTAAGAGCTTAAATGATAGCATCAACAACTGGTTTACCCACGGGACGATAATGGAGACGACATAGCAATCACATTGCAATTTTACATTTTCTAGTGCCATAAAATCGAGCATCGTCTTTAGATTTTCTCATTTGCTACTGGTCATGAAAACTATCACAATCAACAGAATCCATATACTTTATCACAACAGAATTATGACTGAAAAACAAATGATCACTTCAGCTGCATCAACATTCATATACCCGGAAGTTGGAAAATTTCCTACCAAATTTTGCTAATTGTGATTATCCTCGTATCTCTTCGTTTTGGAACCAAGAGATGGGAAGATTCAAATGAGGTTTTCCAAACGGAAGCACTTCACTTTTTCCAGTCGATTAAAGCTTGCTTTCGCCGGAGATTTTTGTCCAATTTTCTCAATTACTTTCTCTTACTTTTCTCCAATGTTGACTAGCGGTTTAGGGATTTGTTCAGGGATGACCCCTCTCTCTTGATTGGTGGAAGCCACTCAGTTAGGGGCAACGTGGTCTCTCCATGTTTCCAAATGTTGTTTTAATATCCTGAACATTAGGAACAGAAATAAAGGTTTCATCGGCTATATGCCTCCAGAGGTTTTTATGGGGAAACTGAAGAAGACAACTGATGGAAGAGAGGCGTTATGAGTATGTATGTTAAAAAAAGAAGCTAGTACTATCACTCTTAAGTTCATACATCGAACAAATCTATTTTCTTATAGCCTACAAGCGCTATCTAGTGTCTTCATATGATAGTCGTTAAGAGTTGCAAAGTGAAAAGAAAATGTTCTTGATAAGACATTGCAATTCCAATATGGCTGGTCTGCAAAGGGAGCTCTAATAATCGTGAAGATAGCATGAGGAGAGTTGTAAAGGTCACTAGAGGGAGAGAGTGGTTTGAATTAAAACTCCATCTTTTATAGCTGTAGCATGAACAGAAAGTGAGTTGAATTATGTCTCAAGCACCATATGGTGGGACTGCTCACAGGATTAACTCCTTTAACAAGACGTATCGGGTTGATTTCAGGACCTGTTTAGAATGACCTTCATTCCAAACACTTCAATATGCGATGAGAAGCATCCAAGCTGCCATGTCATGCTAAGTAAGACAAGGTGAGACTGAAAAAGGCATTCCTCACAGTTGCAAAAATACCGAGTCAACAGTAAGGTGGCCATGGCTATGAGAACCAATCAAGTAACGATGGTGCAGTATCACAATGAGTTCTTAAAATATACCACCTCACATAGTAGTATAAATATGGAAAAAGCAGATCATTTATTATTCTAAGCATAAATGTTAAAGATAAAGCAAACCTTCAAAAATTCGTCTCCAACAGAGGACCAGCAAATGATGTTACAAACTTTACTTGCCAGAAGTTCCCTTTTTGGCCTTACGACGTGCATGGTTGGGGCGGACAGGCTTCCTAGCCTTTTTACTGCACAAAGATATATTATTCCCTCAAGTGCCTCTATCAAAAGGAGTATACATTTGATACGGTAGAATGAAAAAAATCATACCGGGAAGGTAGACAGCAACAGCAAAGACTGAACAATATTAATATGGGTAGGACCAACAAGGCCGAATCCTGGATTGAGTCAATAGCAAAATATCAACAAATTTACTAAAATAAGATGTAGATTTACTGGTAAATCCTATTTTATCCCAGAATTTTCACACTTGTTTCATTTTCGTCCTTATACTTCAAATATAGTTTAGTCCTCAAAATAGTTTAGTCCTCAGATAGAAGTGTGAAACTTCACATAGTTTGAAACCTAGCATCAAACATCTTTTTACAAGGTCATATTTTCTAGAGTAATACAAACCAAGAGCCACTCGAACTCTTTAGTAGCAACCGCTCTTGTAATGTCATGTCTGTTGAGCACTTCCTGGATGGTGTATTTAACCTGAAGTAAACATAAGAACTTCATAAATCATACCGTAGGCAGAAATTTTTGGTTCCTGGTAGCACAAGAATAATTATTCCTGCTGGCGAGCTCAGCAGCTTTCAGCACAATGAGACGTTGTATGCCATATGCTAATCATTTATGATACAAAGCAATTTGAGATTGAAATGTTATCAGCCACATGATTTCTTAGGTCAAGACAGTTTTCTGATACTATACTTGGGCGACTTGAACAAGTTGGACAAAGGTTTAGCAACAATGACCAGCAGACCTTATTAAGGGTATTTTTTTCTATTTCTGAAATAAAAATAAACTAATCTCAAAAGAAAGTTTTAAGGTTCTCACAAACACCATCATCTCAGAAGTTAAAACCGACACTAAAGATTCTGTAAGAACAAGATCTCAGAGAACAGGAATGAAACCTTATGTTCATATTTCCTATCAACTTCACATATTCCATTCCATCCATGCTAAGAAATGAGTTTTAAAGTTTCCAAGAAATGCTTTTCAGTTCCAGGTCCCGATTGTTGGTTAGCTAGGGAAAGGAAACTCCGATTCGTTGAGTTCTCTGCTAATGGCAAATTCCTTGTCTCTCCAAGTATATATATATATGTATATATAATGTTTTTTTTTTTTTTTTTTTGGGGGGGG